TGCATGACTCTCATCCAAGAGGATCCTGGTCACCATGCCATTCTCAGGGCTGGGTTGCTAGACCTGTCCATTTATAGTCACAATTAGACAAGGCAATACCAAGAAATATCTCCTATATTGTTCCCTGGCCCCATTGTATCCAACACCTCTATCCAATCGTGATTATTGGGATCAGTTATGCAAACTTGGTGTCTCCTCTTCTTGTCCATTAATCTATGAATACAGATGCCCAAATGGCCAATGGTAAATCCATAACATATAATTCATTGGAAATCTTGCTGTGTTCCCAGTGAAAGTATATCCTTAGGGGAACTAGGACCTTTGACCCTGAAGAGTCTAGAGTTGTACAAGTTCCCCTGTGGGTATTAAGGGTGTCCTAGTGGAGTCAGTCCTGCTTCCACCTTTCAGTTCTTGGGCTTATGTTTTTTTTTTTTTTTTTTTTTTCCTGTTGGGAACACAGTGCTACATAAAGATTTTTGATTCAGTGGATATAATGCATATCAGAGGATGCCACCTCATTCTTACATAATGATGGCTCCAAACTAATGCTTCATCTATGCCTTTAGCAAGCCATCCCAATGGTCTATCAGTTCAACAGAATCTTGGTAGTATTGAATGTGATGTCTAATGTATCCCATGATAATGGGACCACTCTATACATTTTTTGCTGTAAATTGGATTTCCTACCCTGGCACAAGGAAATGTGGGATTCAGAACTGGTGGATCAAACTCTTTATATACTGTCTGCTGACAGTGCTTGCTGAGACCTTCAGACCAGAAAGGTAAATCCATGACTAAAATATATGTGTATTCCTCTGAAGATGAAACCCAGGCTCTTTCAGGATGGAAAATAGCTAGAATGAATTAAATATTTATTCCCCCCACCCAATTTTTTATGTTGAAACCCTAACATCCAATATGATGGTATTAGGAAGTAGAACCTTTGGGAGATGCTTAGATCATAAGAGTAGAATACTCATGAATGGGAATAGGGTCCTTATAAAAGACACTTCAGGGAGCTCCTTTTCCATGTCAGCCATGTGAGAACACAGCAAAAAGATAGGAATCTATAAACCAGGAAACAGGCTCTCATCAGATACCAAATCTGTTGGCACTTTTATCTTGCACTTTCCAGCCTCCAGAACTCTGAGAAATAAACTTCTGTTGTTCATAAGCCAATCCATGGTATTTTTGGAAGGCAGCTGTGCTTACCCCTATACCACCAACGCCATGGTATTTTTGTTATAGAAGCGAGAACAGTATAAGATGGTGGCCAACTTACCCTCAAATGTTCAGTTGGTCTCCTTAAGGAATCCTGCCATTTTGAAATTTCAGCATTATTTTCTGTTGCTGGCAGGTTGAGCACTCAGCAATGGCAGAAATCAGAATTGGTAAGTGGGAATCCCTGTTGTTGTGCCTATGCACACTCTTCATCCTTGCCACCATGACCCCTTCATTTATATACCCGTGGCTAATGTCAACTTTCCATTTTGTCTTGGCAGTTGTTATGTGCCTCTTCCTTGGCAGTTAATCTCTGGTGGGCATTAACATGTGATACAAAGATCCTCACACATGGCATTCACTTCCATATGCCAATTCACATGCTCCTACCCTAGCCTTCTCAGTCTCCAATTTCCTATCTTTGTCATTCCAGGTCAGCCAATCAGAATCACAGGTATTAATAACCAGAGCCCTTCCCACGATGTAACAGACCTGCCTTGGTTGGGTTGTTAACTCAGTAATTAGAGCTCAGCTGCTCTCCCTCAGATTCCTGGGCTTAGTCCTCAGCTTTCCCAGCCCACCTGCTAGAGAATTTTTGTATGCAACCAAAGACGCCCTCTGGCTTTCACACCTGGCTTTCAATTGCCTGTTGCTCTCAGCTGTTTATTTTCACTCTGTGAAGCATGAATAACCCTTAGCAATAGCCATCCAATCCTGTTATCCTTATAGTTAATATTTTCTCCACACCTTTCAAACACCTGATGTATTGTTCCCATTGTGCATTCCCTTCAGCCAGTACACCACCAGTGAATGGTAACCATTGGACCCCCACTTTGTGCCAGAGACTCTATTTGGCCCACTTGCCTCCAGTGAAAGAGTCCTCTTGCTAGCCAAGAAGTGAGTTGAGCCAACTCCAAAATCTCATCACAAACTACATCTTAGTATGCAAACTATACCCTGGTTTAGTACCATCCTAGGCTGGATTCTCTAAAACAGACTCTGAAATGGAATTTAAAGTATAATATATTAGTCAGTAGTCAACATCTACAAAAATAAAGAAAAAAAAAGTGTTGGAAAGAAGGAAGTCCAACTGGGATGCAGACTCTTCAAAGCCTCAGCAAACCCCCAGGGAGCTTTGGAGTGACCTTTGCCCATCAGTGTTGTCCTTCTCAGGTTAGGATGACTGGGCCGCTATGCCTCCACCTGACTCTGTCACCAGATGTGGGCTGCTCTGGGAACAGCATGATCAGTGAGGCAGCCAGCCATCTGCAATTGAGTTGGAGCCTTAAGGGGCTGAGATAGGCTGACTGCCAAGGGCATGCCGCTGAGCTGGGCAGTGTGTTCTAGGGTCTGGACAGTGCCTCTCCACTTTTCCACGCTCATCATACTCAAGAAGTACTGTATCCACATTCCAATCTTAACTTTGACCATTTCAAGCCAGAATGTACCTTCAGTAGCATCTCTGTTCCTCTCTGCACGTCTTTGTCACTGATAAGAACTTACAGGAGAGTGACTAAAGTCTATCTAGAATACAGGGCTCTTGACTACTAGTCTCTGATTAACAGTCCTTACTTATTCAGGTCTTTATCAAATGTTCTTCTCACCTTCAGGGCATGTATTTGTTGTATATGATGTCTGTACATTTTATGAATATTTAACTTTGTAGATAGCCTCCCTCAGGCTGCAAGCAAAATGCCATGTGCCCCGCGGGTCTTCATTTAGATAATAATTAACTAAAAGGGAGAGAATGAAGACCTGCTGTGTACCCTAGAATTCCTCTTGTGTTCTGTCTCTCTCTCTCTCTCTCTCTCTCTCTCTCTCTCTCTCTCTCTGTCACACACACACACACACACACACATGCAAACACCAGCTGGCATTTGATTAGCATTACCACACTACAGTGTTAATGCTAGTTGTGCTTTCTGTTTGTTCACTAGGCATTCACAGAATTGCTATTAGGTGCTTTGCTAGGCACTGGGGATGCCTGTGGGTTGAATGGACAGTCCCTGGCCTCATGGAGCTTGCAGTGTGGAAGGGAAGACAAAGAAGGAAAGCTGCAATGACAGGTGATCAGGGCTCTGATGGAAATGTGCCCAGAACTGTGGTAACACCTGTACCTGGGACCAGGTAAGGCTTAGACAGAGGGATGAAGAAAATGTCTGAACAAAGAGCAGATATGTCTGTGCAGGGTATGAGGATAAGGCATATCCTCATGGCCTGAGGGAGCATGGGTGAGGTTGGAGCATTTGGTGTGTAAGGAGCCCCAAGAGGTGAAGCTCCTGAGGGGGCAGGGCAGAGTGCACCTGGGGAAAGCACTGATAAGACCAGCTAGGGCTTTGGGAGGCTTTGAGGGACCTGAGCACATGGTGCATTAGGAAGACCAGCTGGCCAAATTGTGGATTGGGTGGGATGGACAGTGAGAGTCAGAACTGAACTTCGGGGCACCATCACAGTACTCTGGGTAAGCACAGCAGCAGGGGTAGCAGCAAAGGTATGACAGATAGAGAGATATGAGGAAGTAAAATTAATCAGACTTGAAGATAGAAACTGGGAGTGAGGAAGAGCAAGGACAAGATGAGGTGTAAAAGGAAAACAGGTTTGACCTAAGCTTTAGGACCCAGTTTTGCACATGTTGACTTAGAACTGGCATAATTAGGTGGAGATGCCCAATAAACAACTACATATATGGCTGTGATGCTTGGGTGCAGTAACTGTGTTAGAAATACAGATTTGGGGGGGTGGCAGGTATGTTAATGTGATATTCAATACGGTGGTTACATTTCCAGATAGTGCAGCCACACCTGTCTTTATACCTACTGTGGGCAAGTAGAAGGCGGGCACACTGGGAATCATGTATAAGAAGCTGCCTAGACTTTGAAACTGGAAAGAGAAGTCCAGATATTACAGAAGAAATTAAAGCCTACCATTCAGAACAGTTTGCAAATCAAATCCCTCCCTTGGCCCTTCAATAGAGAGGAAATAGAGAACAAAGAATGGCAAACAGAGGGTTTTTAAATAAATCATAATTAGTAACACACACATGGGCTCAGCGTCGGTGAGCAATTAGACAGCTAATTATATTGAAGCTGCGTGTTCATGAAGCCAGAGAGTCTCACCCCAAAATGGGAAGTTTCCAGCAATTGCAGGGAAGCCTGGAGGGATGGAGGCTGCCAGTGGGACTCTTCCAGGCCTCCAATAAATACTTGGTAAAGGTGTAGTGTGTGTGTGTGTGTGTGTGTGTGTGTGTGTGTGTGTTTAAGGATACTATGTATGAATCCACATACTGAGAAATTTTGAGCACCTGCAATAGCAGCTGGGCTTCTGGACTAACTGGAAGAGAAATGGATTCTCTTAACCAAGTACCACTCTTAAAAATGCTGCCCTCCAGCTAAAGGCTTCACTGGTTACCCCAGGGCCCTTGGGGCTGTTTGTGCATAGCAAGGGCTCCATCTAGTGGTCTATGCTGGAATCACTCTCAGTGTCTACGATGTAGATTTTGAGGGTTCTAATCCAGTAGTGTGCCTAGGAGTGTTCTAGGGTGGTGAGGTCTGTCTGAATGCAGACACCTGACTGGCTAACCTGGTTAACCATGTTCTAAGCTACATAAGAAAAAAAACACATTCATTAACAACACAATTGTAAAAATAGGTCAAGCATAGAGAAAAATTATGGATTATTTTTTTCCTTATTTTTCTTTTGCAATTTATTTTGTACAATTCTTTTTGTCTTCAAAAGCCTTGGGATATGTGTAGGATTTGCTGTTTAACTGTGTTTCTCTCTCCCTTTTTGTTCCTTTTCTCCCACAAACATAAGGAACAAAGGCTTTATCAGAAACCAAAGGTTTTGCAAATATCAACCTAAAAAAAAAAAAAATCAGTGATCAGGAAATGCTTGAAGGAGCAAGAGGTAGGGTATGGGGCTTCAGTTCTTTTGAGAAACCTCTCTTGCCTCAGCATCTCACTTCTCCTCACCTTGGTTTTCTGCCCCTGTGACCCTTACATCCATACACAGACTGCTCCTGGCCAGGGATGCATGTGAAGGAAGACACAGAGGCCAGGGAAAGGATGATGTGGTCAGTGCTGGGGTGGGGGTAGGAAACTGGGGGCACACGTTTTTACTGTTTTGGGGAAAGAATTTGATTTCCAGTGCTGAGGAGAGAGGACCACCTTCCAAAGAAATCGAGGGCAGAGGGTGCTTCTGAGCAGAGAAACCAGCAATTAGGAAGGCTGCGGGGTCTTGAGATGGGGACTGCAGGCAGGTCTGGGGGCCAGCAGCCACTCAGCAAAGCCATGAGGCTTGAAGAGATCTCACCTTGGGAGAACTGATAGCAAATTCTGGCGCATTCTGGCTCTAACAGACTAATACGCAGAGCAAGCTGGTTGTCGACTCTCCTGAAGGTGATTCAAGGATAAAGAAAGGGAAAAGAATTAGACCCACCACTGTACCAGTCACCATGAAATCAGAGGTAAAAATGCAAAAGGAGAAGAAGAGCTGAGATGAATCCCTTTCCCTGGCATGCACATTTGCTCCCTGTCATGTCTGCCCCTGACACAGACCACATCCCTCAAGAATAGAGCTACACTCAGAATTCAAATGTGCTATCTATGCTGCACGTATATGCAGAAACAAGGTTGTTGCCAACACTTCTAATGGAAAAATGGTAGTCTGAATACAAAGGGAAAGAAGGCTGCTCCACTCTATGAAATCGTCTATATGAAATCAGAAATAAAACTGCAAGAGAAGCAAGAAAAGCTTGAACAGAAACTCTTCGCTGAGCATAAAAATGAGTTGAACTGAGCAAAATCATAAATGCAAACCATCCACATCACCTTTGCCACAGGGGACAATGCCCCAGAATAGAATTTAATGCCAAATTAAATGTTCCATCCACCTTTTCCAGCAACAGAGCTGTAAAAAGGGAAAACAAATCAAGGTTGCTGCTGCTATTGCTGAAGGATATTGGCTGATGGCACATAAATAAGTGTACAGGAGCCAGTTAATCTGGGTGTGGGATACCTTGGGCCTGGAAGGGTCAGAGAATGAGGGGCAATCATCACAAGGGGTATACCTTGGAGGTGAGGGCATCAGTCATATTGATTTCCTTTGGCAAAATGGCATTTTCCTTTTCCTTGCAGAGGTTTTGGACTTCCCAGACTTTACTGGATGCACTGGAAGACTATTGATTATGATCAGAACACCCAGACAGGAGGAAATGCGGGGGTTGGAGAGAGGCATTTCCACAGCAGAAATCTGGTATCAGGTAAACAATGACGCCTAACACCTGCTTGGCAACAAGGCACCAGGATAATAAGGAAAAATGTGAATCACAAAAAATGCTCTGGGTTCGAATTCCAAAAGATCTGATTTCAAGTGTGGCATTGACCTTTACCAGCTCTATGGCCCAGGGCAAGTCACTTCGGTGAGCACTCCATATCTCAGCATTTTTGTTTGTGCAGGGTGGGTCTTGGACAAGATATTCTTACAAATTCCTTTCTGGAGAGCTGCCTGATGTGAGAATACTAGCAGAAGTGTAGAGGAAGGAGTAACTCTAAATGGGATGTCAGTGAAAACCAACACTAGTCACGTCCACAGAGACAACAATAATCACTTTTACTTCTATGGGGCTTATTTTTGTTCTACTGTTAGTATATATCCTCCTTATCTTTAGAAAACAAACAAACCAGCAAACATTTCACCTCTAGTGAAAAATGCATACCGTTGCCTTATTTTGTAACTGCATTCCTAAAATCTCATGCTAAAGTGGATTGTTACAAACCAAATACCATTCTCCCTATAGGAAGATTGCTATAATTGGGAATTGTGTTCCACATCAAGAATTTGGCATCAAATAAATCATAGACATCGCTAACAATATGATATAAGGGGAGAAACATAACAATAAACTTCTATAATCATTTAAAATAGTAAAATGTGCTCCAACTCACATAAAATGGGCATTAAGTATATGGTACATGTTGATTATGCAAGAGACCCCAATGTGCTATAAAGTGTACATAGAACACATAAAACTCTAACATTAGCATACCATAAATTCAACCTAAAACCAGCATACCAGCTATAATAAATTTAATTAAACATTAAATGAACATTAATTTGCTTTTTCTTCTTAGAATTTAGAATGGGTTATTGAGGCTGATTCGGCTAACTTGTATCTCTTAAAAATAACAACAACAACAACAAAATTTAGTTTAAGTCAATGTGTTCTTTTTTTTTCATAATTTATTGTGTTAAAAATGGCCAAAACAGAGTCACATATCCTAAACCCTACCAAGACCTAATACCTGCCCTAAAGGTAGCTTCAGCTTCTCCCAGAAATGTGACTTACAATCAGCCAACCTGGAATTTCCTGGTCAGCACTAGGAGGTAGTCTGCTGACAGACCTAGTCCATTGCCAGTAGGAAAGCAACCTTGCCTGAAACAATGCATTCTTTGCTAATCATTTCCTTTTTTTCCTCTCCCTCTCTGCCTTTAAAAACTTTCCTTTTTGGGGGGCGCCAGGCTGGCTCAGTTGGTTAAGCATCTGACTTCGGCTCAGGTCATGATCTCATGATTTGTGGGTTTGAGCCCTGCACTGGGCTCTGTGCTGACAGCTCAGTCTGGAGCCTGCTTTGGGTTCTGTGTCTCCCTCTCTCTCTGCACCTTCCACACTTGCGCTCTGTCTCTTGAAAAATGAATAAACATTAAAAAATTGTAAAAATATTTCCTTTTCTGCAGCTCCATGGGGCTCCTTTTTATTTGCTAGATGGGATGCTGCCCAATTAATGAATCATTGAATACAGCATATTTGATGTTTAAATTTACTCATTTGAATTTTTGTTATTGAACACTTGTAACAAACAGGGAAATTTGGACAGTTCCATTAACTATGGAGCCATCTCAAAAAAGAGCAGATGCCAACACACATTTGTTTTTCACAGATAATGATGATGGCATTCCCCCCCCCCCCCAAAATAAACATCAGTTAAGTAAAAGCTTATCTAACATCCCTCCCCTTCACCCCTTCTTGTCTCCTCCTTGTTCAAAAGTTTGGACCAAATAAAGGCCAACCAATACGAGAACAGTAAGTGCTACTTAAATCACTCCACATGACACTTTGTTGACAGCTATTAGAGACCTTCACACCTTATCAGAAAAAAGGAGAACAATTACAAGTCATTTGGATGGCCTTCAAAAAGAATGTTAAATCATTTCTCTCAGACATAAGACACATTGTCCACAGCCTCTGTGGAAAACAAAATATTATCTTATATTTTCATACACTTTACAGTTTAAAACTATTATGTAAGTTGATTATTCCAGCTATCCAGTTAGGAATATATGGCTGGCACTCTGATTTCCTGCTTTATGATTGAAGAAATAAGTTTTTTTAGATAGCTTAAGGGACTGATTTGCAGTTACAAAGCTGAAGAAAGGCATTATGAACTAAGGCATTATTATAAAAAGTGTAGAGAAGCAGTGTCCACAAGTATTTCATGAATATGAGTCTATGAATCCTAAAATAATAATAAAAATAATAATAATAATAATAATAATAATAATAATAATGATAGAAGATGACTTAGGGATCACACTCTATACAGGAGTCTCCTTCATAATATTCAGCTCATTTAAAATCACCCCATGGGCTAAAGCAGTCCACTTTCTACAGGGACTCTCAACCAGGGTTAATTATCCCACAAGGCATAACACTCCATTTTTTGACAAAGTGTTTTAATTATTAGAAAAGTCTTCCTTCATTTATCCTAATTCTGCTTTCTAGAATCTCAAAGAATATGCCTAATCATTCTTCCACACAATATTTCAAATAGTTGAAAATAGCTGTTTCCCACTCATAAGGCATAGCTTCTAGACTCTTTGTTCTCCTGGTGGCCATTCTTTGATTTATCTATGCCACTCTTAAAACCAGGTTGCTGGGAGCGACCGTAAAACTCCACGAGCATTCTGACCACTGTATAATGGCCTGAGATCTTTATCAATATAGCTCTTTGTGTTCTGAACTGAAACTTTTATTAAATATAGCTTTAAATAACAATAATTTTTGGCAGACACATGGTGTTGGTTTATATTAATCTTGCATCCAACTAAGATCTCTGTTTTCTTTCCCCATGTAATCTGCTATTGAGCCAATATTCTCCTATCATAATCATATTAGGTCATGACATTAGCAAATATGGGAGGCTTATCTTTATGTATTCAGTGTTTCTCAATAGGAGTTCCAATGAAATTTTGGACAGGATAATTCTTTGCTATATGGGACTGTTCCGTATATCATAGGATGCAATTAAGTATTAGTGGCAACATTTGATTGTCCTTGTGACAATCAAAAATAACCCTATGCACCTCCAAAACATCCCTAGGAAAACGATTCCACTGCAGTTGAAAATCCTTATCAAATCATCAATTGAAATGCTGCAGTATGAAGAACAGAGCCCTCTGTCATGTCAGTATAGACTTCCTTCAAGGCTGACATGTATTTTATGGTCAAGATTCTATAGATACAACTTTTATCCAGCTACACATTGACCTAAATGTATAATAGTAAGCCCTCATTTCTCCTTCTTATTAATAAAAATTGGATTGAAATATTTGAAAATTGTGCTTTCAGGATAATAGCAGAGAAACTTAGCATAGGTAAAATATATATGACAATAGTTGATTATAGTTTCAGGATCTAATTTCCAAAGTTGGCTCCCCAGTGAGCCAGGCCACCTGCTGCTCGTGACCTTCTAGTCTCTTCTCCTTGAAGATGGGCTGGCTCTGTGACTTCCTTGAACCCATAAAATGCAATGTAAGTTATGCTCCCAGGTTGGCTCAGAAGAAGATTTGCAGCTTCTTCCTGGCTCTCTTGGAAATCTTTCAAGGACCCCTTAGCTGTTCTACAAGAACTCTGACTACCCCAAGTTGCTGTTCTGCTGAGACCAAATAGGTACACACAGCCAAGCCAAATATTTTAGCCATGGCTAGTAAGGTGAAAGTCACAGGAGAGAAGACATCTTTAACTTTCTAGACAAGCTCATACTCTAGCCAAATACCACTGAGCAACTCCATTCAATGCCACATGGAGCAGAATTGCCAAGAACAGCATTCCCATATTCCTGACCCATAAAACTGTGAAATATAGTAAAACTTGACAAAAGAGCCTGTATTCCCTTCTCCCTGTAATTCATATTCTGCAGCAAAATGTGCATTCATTTCTTCTCTCATTCACCACACATTTATTGAACTCCTATTACATTTCAGTATTTTGAGAGATATTGGGAATAAAATGGGTGATAAAAAAAATCCACCATCTCTGAACTCAGAAACATCACAGTAGAATGTAGGAGATTCATAAACCAATAATTATGATGGATTTTAAAGTAGTATGATAGAGGTGGATGTGGGGATCTGTGAAAGCACAGAGAAAGACCTATAGTTGGGGGAAAAGGATGTCACAAGAGGCCCTTTCATAGTAGGGACTCATAAAAGGCATGACAGAGTCATCAGGAAAAATAAAGAGAGCTAAAAGGATTTTAAAGCAGAGGGTATAGCATGCAATGGCAAAGAGTTGTGAAAGATACAATTCATTGGAAGTTTAGTATGACTAAAGACACAGTGCGAGAAGTCCAATAAGAAAAGAACCTAGAGAAGTAAGCAAAAGCAAGATCTTTGAAAGTTGCTAAATGCCATATATGGTAGTCAGCCTCCAAGATGGCCCCACAATGAACCCTACATTCTGGTCTCCAGACATTTGGGTAGTCCCCTCCTACATTCTACCAAGGTTGGTCTGTCTGAACAACAGCATACAGGGAAAATGACAGTATATCACACTTGAAAATAGATTATAAAAGACTGAAGCTTCCATCTTGATCTCCTCCCACCCCTCACTCTCTCATTCTCTCCCCTTACCCCACCTCTCTGTCTCTCCCAGATACTCCCTTTGGGAAAAGCATGTTTCAATGGAGAGACCCATATGGTAAGAAATTGAAGACTTCTGCCAATAGTCACATGAATGAGCTTGGAAGTAGATCCTCCAATCCCTGTCAAGTTTTCAGAGACTGAAGCCCAGGCGAACAGATTAACTTCAACCTCATGAGACATCTTGAGCTAGAATTATTAACTACTAACTACAGCCAAACTACTCCAAGATTCCTGATACTCAAAAACTATATGACATAGTAAGTGTTTATTGGTTTAAACCACTAAGCCTTGGGATTATTTATTATGCAGCAATGGCTAATGCACCATGCTGAGAGGTTTAAATATTAGCCTTAAATTGATAGAAAGTCTTTATAGGACTCTAAAAAGCTAGACAACTATTGGGGTGCCTGGGTAGCTCAGTCAGTTAAGAGTCCAATTTCAGCTCAGGTCATGATCTCACCATTTGTGGATTCGAGCCCCACGTCAGACTCTGTACTGACAGCTCAGAGATAGGCATCTGCTTCAGATTCTGTGTCTCCCTCTCTCTCTGCCCCTCCCCTCACTCACACTCTGTCTTTTTCTCTCTCAAAAATAAATAAACATTAAGAAAAAACAAAGCTAGACAACTATTTGCACATTGGAAAGGTCACTGGGTTAGCAGTTTGGAGGGTAAAATGAAAGAGTAAAGGGGATAGCTGGAAAGAGACAGCCATGATAACCCAATCCTGAACAGATCATGAACTGTACCAAAACAATCAAAAAGGGAGGAAGAAGTAGATGTAGGTTTAAGCTATATTAATGAGCCCAAATTTCTGGTTTAGACAAGTGGGCAAGCAGAAGCATAGTCATTGAGTCAGAGAATACAGGAAGAGGTCAGAATTTGGAATTTACAGCAAAGATGATGCACTTAGATTTGAACATGTTAACACTAAGAGGACCATGAGACATCCAAGAGAAGAAAAGACACATTGGATATATGGATCTGAGACTCAGAGCTGCTCTGGGTCATAATAGTCATCAGCATGGCATTGGTAATTGAAGTCATGGATTAGGATGAGCACTGCTGAGGAGTGTGTGTGGAATAGGAACAGCAGGAAGTCAGTAAAACCAAAGCCTGTTTACCAGTTAGACCCTATTTCTTCTCAACCCTGCACAGACATATTAGGAATTTAGTCCCTTCTCCGTAACCAGGGATTATAACAGTCATTTTGTAAGATGAAAAAAATCACTCTTTACCCTAAATATGCCAGAGGAAAGGAAATCATTAAGTATTTGACAATCACTTTCATTTGCTTATTCCTTTGCTTAAATCAAAGATGATTTCTATAAGTTTAGAAGCTCCTTGCAGAATTCTAAGCATGCTGTTAAAGATATAAATTAATTTATCCACCAATCTCTAAGGAAGTAGATTATAGGAGAGCCCTGTCATAGACAACTTCCCCTGCAGATGAGATGTGCCCTAAAAGTAGCAAATCAGATGAAAGACAAAGGTGTAAAATATCTCTATTAGTCAGGGTTCTCCAGAAAAAAATAGAATCAATAGTGTGTGTGTGTGTGTGTGTGAAATCATACAGTATTTGTCTTTGTCTGTTTGGCTTATTTCATTTAGCATGGAGGTTGCCAAAGGGATATGAAGGGGATGGTTGAAATGGGTGAAGGGGATTAAGAGGTACAAACCTCCAGTTACAAAATAAATAAGCCACAGGGATGAAAACCACAGCATAAGGAATACAGTCAATAATATAACACTTATCATGGTATTTCATATTGTATATAATTGTTGAATTACTACACATCTGAAAATAGTTTAGTATTATATGTCAACTGTATTATATGTCAATCAAAAATTTGGGGCGCCTGGGTGGCGCAGTCGGTTAAGCGTCCGACTTCAGCCAGGTCACGATCTCGCGGTCCGTGAGTTCGAGCCCCGCGTCGGGCTCTGGGCTGATGGCTCCGAGCCTGGAGCCTGTTTCCGATTCTGTGTCTCCCTCTCTCTCTGCCCCTCGCCCGTTCATGCTCTGTCTCTCTCTGTCCCAAAAATAAATAAACGTTGAAAAAAAATTAAAAAAAAATAAAAATTAAAAAAAAATTAAAAATAGTGTGTGTGTATGAGAGGGGAATATTTAAAGGAATTGGCTCATATGATTGTAGAGGCTGGCAAGTTCAAAATCCACAAGGAGGGCAAGCATGCTGGAGACCCAGGAGGGACTCAGTGTTGTAATTCCAGCCAGAAAGCCATCTGCTGGAAGAATTCCTCCTTGCTTGAGGGACATCAGATTTGTTCTGTTCAGCCTTCCAACTGATTGGATGAGACCCACCCACATTATGGGGGACAGCCTACTTTGCCCAAAGTCCACCAATTTAAGTATTAATCTCATTCAAAAAAAAAAAAAAAAAAAAACCTCACAGAAACATACAGAATGTTTAACCATATACCCGGGCACCATGGTCTAGCTATGCAGACACGTAAAATTAACAGTGACAATATCTGTGATAGAGGGATGGTAGGAGACAAGATGTTTTGACTGTTATTTATCACTGAATTCTTCTTTGCAGCCAACACAGAATCCTGTACAGTGCCCTGCACATAGTAGGCAGGTTCAGCTAAATGGTTCAGGCTGACATTCACAGTCCCTGACATATCCAAATGCAGCTAATTTGGTAAAGGTGACAACAAAGTCACAGAGGGGACTTTTTCCTCCAGTGTGCTTGTTAAGAAAGTAAATAAAAAACCCACCCTAACAACAGTGTGCTTTTCTGACTGTATTCCATTCCTGGTGGTCATCACAGCAGCAGGCAAAGGATTGGGACAGCAAACATCATGGGTGCTCCTTCTCCCATCCCTAATGAACCATCCTTGGGGGTTGCTGACCAAGTCTACCACTTCTGCCAAGAGTAAAAATAAAATGCCCCGGAAAGAGATGAATTTGTCTGCATCTGGAAAGATACTCATCATTTTTTGTATATTTGTGTTGCTTTCCCTTCAGGAGAGAATGAGGAGAAACTAAATGAGCTGTTCTTAGGAACAATGTGAATTCAGAATGAAGCAAGCTGTGGGAGGCTGCATGGTGAGCTAGTGAAGAAAGCAACAAAACCAGGGGCGCCTGGGTGGCTCAGTGGGCTGAGCGTCCAACTTCAGCTCAGGTCACAATCTCACAGTTCATGGATTCAAACCCCATGTTGGGCTCTGTGCTGACAGCTCAGAGCCTGGAGCCTGCTTCAAGTTCTGTGTCTCTCTGTCTGCTCTTCCCCCATTCATGCTCTATCTCTCTCTGTCTCTCAAAAATAAATAAAAGTTAAAAAAAAAAAAAAAGAAAGCAACAAAACCCAAATCAGGGTGGGTCTGGGGCAGGGCAAGGGGTAGGGTGGAACATCTGCACCTGGAGCCAGAAAGACACCTTCCTCCACCTTCATTGACTTTCATCCCCCTGGAGATGCATCTGGGGGTGGGTGGGTAGTTAAGGCGTCTAGGTCTCTGCAGCCTACTTAATCTCGATAAAATGTTTGTTGATATTTTTCTTGCTCATGAAATTTCTTCCCAAGAAAGAACTACTTAATCTAGGTTCCGCAGGCCTCTCAGGAGTCCAAGGATAGAATTAGGGAGTCCCATGAACTTGGATGGCAAATATATATATATATTTGGGGGGTGTGTGTGTATATAAATATATATATATATATATATATATATATATTATGAATAGAACATTTCTCAATAATTTAAATACATGCAAACCCCCAAAATATTAGCAGTATCTTGCAGATATCTAAAAATGTCTTTTATGCTCATCTCTACTTCATTCTGTTGCAACTTGGTGGTCCAAACCCATATCAGGATTCTGCAGGTCCCAAAGTTTACAGTAACTAAGTTTTCCTATATTGTTCAAACTAGATGTACCAGAAATGAAGCAAATGCTGCATTTTGATCTCCATGTGGGCCCTTGGATCCATCTTCAACTGTTTAGAAGACAGAGAACAAGAAGAATGAGCAAAGTCACCAAAAATCCTCTCAAGGCGGGTGGGGTTCATCATTCACTTGGATACCAAATTATAGAACCCCATTATTATACTGAGCTTTTGTCTGCATAACTGCAAGAAGTCAAATTCCTTCTCCAAGTGGGAGTACTTAAACCTTGCACAAATCTGTCTTTATAGCTGATCATCAACTTTCTCTTCAATTTACTGCCCAGGTTTTTCTGCCCATTCCCTCAGATTTCTCAGAGCTTCTTCTCAACACTGCCACAACCCTCCTCCACCTCTCTTTTTTCCCAAAGTGAAGACATAAATACCTCCGTTATGTCTCTAAGCACAGCTCACCCAGAACAGTAATGGTTTAGAAATGAAGTTCAGAGAAGAAATAAACTATAAAAATTTAAAAGGAAAATCTAAATTAAATTATGATATGTAACTCTCCCAAAATCCACTGACAAGTCTCTCCTTAGGGGTCCTGAATGGTCACCTCTTTTGTCAACCTTTTACCATATGACTGGGGCTCACTGACCACCTCAGGTGGGGAGCCTCTTCACCTTGGCCACCCCCCTCCCCCCAAGTTTATGGTGCCCTGCTCAACTCTCTGGCTTCAGCTACAGGAATCCAAAACAAATTGACCTCATGGTATTCTCTCTAAACACACATGTGAAGATAGCCTTATTTAATTATTAAACGGAATACCTAAGTCTGGAGTATCTGAAAGTAGAAGATTTCCCCCAGCTCAAAGCTTCCTAAGAACCTTAGAAGGTGATACCTACCTCAAAGCTGTGTGAATACAATGCTTGAAAAGGTGACCCCTTTCAGTACAAAGAAAGGCTGGCTGGACACCCCTGAGATCCTACCCTGGAATTAGAAGCAACATAGAATTACCAAATCAAAAGTTTCAACAACTTTAAGATCTATTTTCTATCTCAAGAAATATGAAGGAACTATGGGTAGCACTCACTTTTTTTCTTTTTTGGCAAAGAAGAGGAGGTGTCTTTGTTACAGAACATGGAAGAAGGAATGCGTAATTAATTCTAGTGTTCTTAGGAGAGATTAGAGAAGGCTCCGTGGTGGAGGTGTCATTTGACTTAAGATGAAGGATGAGTGTACATTATCTGTGGATAATGCAGAACTGCTTAGCAAGCTCATTGTGTGGGTGATAAAGAATGGTGAGAATAGGAATCTGAGAATGCTTTACTAGGCCCATCTCACCTCCATTAGTTTTATTGAACCTTGAAATGGCTTTTGAAGTTAACAATCACCCCAGAGGATACAAAGTTAGGCACTTTAAAAAAAAGACATTAAAGTTTTGTAAGTTCCCCAGTTAATCCATCAAACACTTTTCAGTCTTAGGTAACAGTGTGTAAACTCTATCAAGGGCATCTGAGGTTCCCTAGGAAACATCTATAGCCAGACAAATGGATAACACTCACTAAAGATACAAAGAGCCTAAGGAAAGCTATGGAATCACCTTTCAGGCAAAGATGTGTTCATTTAAAGCACATAACTTTTTGTAAAATCTTCATGGTGTTGAGAAGGAAAAATGCCAAAGGACAAGTTAGGATGGGGGGTGAGAAAACTGTGCTAGCAGAGTCAGATTTGTTAGATTTGTCACCTGAATTTGGCTTTGCTCATGTTGTTCAGCTTATTGTCCCAAGCTTCTCCAGTTTAGCACACGAATCTACAAAAATATTGTATCCTTTCAAGACATAATTAAAAAAAAAATGTTAAGGTGGCAACTATCCAACTACTTCCTGAAGAATATAGCATAGTATTTAGACTACCTGACAAACCTCTGCAAAAGAACATCTTAGAAAATTCTCCTTTGAGTTCTGTATATTTTAGGGGAAAAAAGTTTTCTTTAATTAGGTGATGGCTAATGGACTATTAAAACAACCGCCTTGCTAATTAAAAGAATAAATTGAACTTGCTGGACCTTTCAGCTGCTCTTTAACACCCTGCTTTCTGATGTTTTCCAGCAAGGTTTCCATCACAACATAAGTCAATGAGTTAAGGAAAAGTGGCAATAAGGACTGGTTGGAATGGTTGATCATACCTCCCCAAAATAATAGCTAGACGTGCCTGTGAAAGTTTTCCACAGCATGCTTTGGATGGTTTATTTCAGATTGATGCCGTTTTTTTCTTCCCTGCTATATTTCCCAATCATCTAAAATAGTTCTGGCACTAGTAGATGAGAGAGAGAGAGAGAGAGAGAGAAGAGAGAAGAGAGGAAGAAACAGGAGAGGAGGAGGGGAGGGGAGGGGAGGGGAGGAGAGGAGAGGAGAGGAGAAGGGAAAGGGAGGAGAGGGTAGGGGAGAGCAGAAGAGGAGAGGAGGAGAGGAGGAGAGGAGAGGAGGAGAGGAAGAAAGAAAAGAAAAGAAAAGAAAAGAAAAGAAAAGAAAAGAAAAGAAA